CACCAAGATGGAGATTTTACCAAGGTAACATGACCCCGGGGCGGGGAGGGGGTTTTACGATGCCCACAGTATCATTAGCCATTACAGGCAACGTCGAGGAGTAAAATCCTAAAATCTAGGAGATAAAAACTTACTCGCCAGAAGACAGAACAGCGGTCCTCTCCAAAAATGGAAAATTGAAAATTGAAAAGACTGTTAAGCCTGATAAGGACACCGCAGTACCATCAATTGTACCCACTGCATCAATAGTCACTTCATGCTATCTGGAGGAGTCAAATTGATTGAGGTTATCTAAATAAATCTCCATGCGACGAGAGGGCTACCAACATTCTGATGACTAAAATAAATATGGTAAGGAACCTTGGATGATTCCAAACAAGTTTACTGAATTAAATCACGTAAATTTCCAACTCGCCAACAGGACCTAATGGTGATTTTCCGGCGCTTATGCAGATGGAGTCAAGAGTGGTTTCGATTCATCTGTCAAAGACTTTCTCTGCATGCTTGAAATTCGAAATTAAATGGATGCAATGGTAATATTTATACTTAAACCCGGAAAAAATAAACGGTAGTACCGTTTACCTCATCAAAATACTAGGTAATAGTCCGAGTGACAAGGTTAAATCTAAAGCCTTAAACGAATACTTTCACAGAGGTAAGCTTTGCATCATAATAGTATTAGGCCACTCGGGAGTAGTTGGCATCGAAAGAGCGAATTAACTTTCATTAAAGGGAGCTGGTGGTTAACTTTACGAATCCTTAACAATTCGACGCAACGAGGGACTAATTAATCATTTGGGGGAGAGAATCCCATAAGGCCTCTTGGAATAATGAAACGGGGGTTAGAACCACAAAGATCCTATGGAGTGACTCTAACGAGAGCAAGACGAGAAGTCTCCTCAAAATAAGCAAGTCTGAGGTTAGTGTGATGATACGCATTTTGAGCGGACATACAGGATTACGGACATAACTATACAAAATTGGACGTGCGGATTCAGACAAATGTAGAACATATGGAAAGGACAGAGAAACTCTGGAGAATTTTCTTTAAAAATTCGATCTAAATATCTTGAGAGTGATATTATTTCGCATATTACATATCTCACGAATACTGATTGTAAAATTCTTAGGAATTACGTTTCTGAACATTGGACGATTATACCTTCATTGATCACTATATAAAGTTTCTGTTTTTTTCCACAAATATTTTCCATTTTCCAGCCTTTTTGGTCTATTGATTTTCTATTTTCATTTCCCGTCATCTCCCGTCGGTGTCATTTGGGAAAGATTCGATGACCCAAAATTTGTTGCATAGAGTTATCGACGTCAGCGACTAGAAGTAAAATATTTAAAAAAATTCCACAAAATATTGTTATCGTTTAAAATTGAGCTCTAATCGTATCACAAGCTATAAATAAAAAATGCCAATCATGTTATATGTTCCAAAATACATATTTCTCTTTTTGTTAATATAAAATTAAAACACATTGAATATGTGTAAAAGAACACATTTCAATTCAAACATTTTAATGTAGCTTAGAAACCTAGAGGTTCTCAATATTTCTATATATATACATACATTTAGTCTAGTTTGTATAGTTAACAAATTATTTCATTAAATGAAACCGTTTCTCAAAATGTTTGTCCTGTAATCAATATTTGTTGAGCTGGATCAAAGGAAATTGTGCTTTTTCAAGGTTTTTCCAATTACATATTTTCATTTTTAACCCAAAGGAATACATATTATAAAATTTTGATATCATATGAAAGGTCTCTGAGAGGCATTTTCATAATTTGTAAACTTAGAGATCTCAAAAGTCACTTTTTATACCCTACACCACTATAGTGGGCAGGGTATTATGCGTTTGTGCTGATATTTGTAGCACCCAAAAATATTGGTCCTACACCCACCTTAAAGTATACCAAACGGCTCAGAATCACTTCCTGAGTCGCTAAGGTCGCAATTTTCGAGATAATTTGATGAATTTTCCTTTGGTCCAAGGACGAACACTATTGAAAATGGTTGAAATCGGTCTATTATTTCACCTAATCCCCATAGAACAGGACCCCCCGAATAGGACTTTTGATCTCATAATTATATTAAACGATCTACTATCTCTAAAAAATTGGCAAAACTTAGTTTTATAAAACTCTTAATAATTCTAGCGATTTTCGTGAAGATCGGGCAGTATTTGACCCTAGCCCCCATACAAAGTCCCCTATTGAAAATGACTTAAATGTCCACAATTCACTTATAAACACTAGTATAATGATGAAATTTGGCACAAATAAGTTGTATATAAACATAAATCCCCACAATAAATTTTATGAAGATCGGCCCAAGTTTTGCCCTAGCCCCCATATCACCAGACTTTCCAATTTGGGCCTTTTAGCTCGTAACTACGTCATATATTCTACTACCTTCTCAAAATTTGTCACAACTAAGTTTGATATAATCCTAAATAACACTCAATTTTACTAGTGATCGAGCCTCATTTGACAATAGCCCTTATACAACGACCCCTTCTGAAAATGATATGAACGTCCACAATTCTCTTATAAACTAGTATCTAGTATCACGATGAAATTTAGCACAAATAAGTTCTATATAAACATAATTCCCAACAATAAATTTTATAAGGATCGGCTCAATTTCTGCCCTAGCCCACATACAATCGGACCTTCAGATTTGGACCTTTTATTTCTTAACTGCATCTAATATACTACTATCTATCCAAAAATAGGCATAATGTGTTTGTAACACTCAAAAATATTGTCCTTAAGTGTACTAGTTGGTTCAGAATCATTTTCTGATTCGATTAAGCTATGTCCATCTTTGTGACCGTGTGTGCACGATACAGCCCGCAATTTTCAATATAATTTGTTAAAATTTTTCACATAACCTTCTCTGGATCTAATGACTAAGACTGTTGAAAATTATTAAAATCCGTCATTTATTTATCTAGTACAACCGTACATGAACAGACATTGTAGGGTATCATATGGTCGCCCACGGCCGACTATAGTTTCTTACTTGTTCAACTTTGGAGGCGTCGAAATAGAAACAAAAATAAAAGGAAACTATTTAAAAAAAATAGATTTCCCTCTCCAAACGTTAGAGCTGGATCCGTTCCCACATGTCTAGGTATCACCAAATTTTATCGCAGGTTAATTAGATTGACATTATATTTATTTTTCGTTGAAATGTTTTTGTTTTTTTAAGTAAATAAAATATATTTGACACTGATACTGGTTTAAATCAGCAGACTTATTTATTTATTTTTTGTTTATTTCAGAGAGTTCATTAAAATTTCCCACGTTTTAATTTTTCAAATATTGTTCATTGTTAAAATCAATATACAACAATAATAATAAAATGACAAATCAATAACCGACCCTAGTGACTTGATCGAATATTTACTTCTTGGTGCATTCATCTTTGATTTGTTCACTTTTTTTTGTGGAGTTTTGTCAGGAGACTGCGTTTTTTTTTATTAGTGGCAAATTTGCGGTTTACGATTTAAATCATTTTAAATTCGTCTACAAATTATAATGAATCGTTTTCAATGATCAGTCATTATTGTTTTGAAACATATTTGAATGTTTTTATGAACATTTTAAATTAGACCCTCTTACATTTTGGTTGTCGATATGTTTTGTATTATTTTTATTTTTTTGCGACTTTGTACAGCGTAGTGTCAATAAACGGTACTTTTTGTTTGTGATTTTCTTTTTTTACGAGTTAATGTCTCATAAATAGTCTTGTAGAATTGTTCGAGGTGATAAGCGAATCAGACGCCAAGACCTTTTTAAAGGAATTTATTCTTTATTATAAGAAAAACTGTTAAAATTAATATATTTCGAATGGAGTTATTGATCTTAATGCCTAACTAGAACGAGTACAGAATACACATATATATTTACATGTATTTTAGAAGTAGTAATTCTATAGAGTACCCCTTTTGGATAGAGTATGGTACCATCAAGAAACCTAGCTCTACGAATACCTATTGTAAGACAATTCCAAGATTTCCAACAATCATTGATGCAACAACACAAATAATGAAAAGATTGTATATTCGACTTCCCCCATATGTTGTTCCCTCGCGAACAATCCCAAATTAAAAGTTGTTCAGATTTTACGGTGCTTGTTGGACTTTTATAGCTCACGTGTTGTTGTAACAGCTTAAACTATACAATTTTAATTCGGGGGTTCTCTATTAAGGTCCAATCCTAGAAATTGGGCTACTTCTACAGGATTTGTCTATAAATCCATTGGGCTAAGTGAAGTAGGATCGGCTGGACAGTTGAATATGTGGTGGCTATCATGGAGACCCTGATCAGTAGGCGTTAGGTTCTTCTCTATTTTTCTCTATTACAACCTCCAAGCTCAACATTAATGAGGTAATCAGAAATGGCGTCTCTATGAATGTCGTTCAGTACTGCTGTATACGAATTACGATCGAGAAGGAACTGGACCTTCGCTTCCAAAAGGCAGACTAAAGAAAACAAGTTATGTTGAATTAATTCTTTAAAACCTCTGCTGGTGTATTAATCATTTGAACTGTCCATTTTTAAACATTGTTGCAATAAAAATAGCATCAACAAGTTATGAAGTAAGTGTAATCTTGTATCAACCACCTCATTTTCTTTCAGATTGGAAAATTTGAATACGCCTCAATAATCAACGTCAAGTTGGACTTGTTTATGGTTTGTCTGTCTTCATCTTTATACTAAATGCAAATGTAATATTTAGGACTATGTCTTTAAAAATAGATTATTAAAATCTTGGCTGGAGATCAATATACTAAACGTACATACATTCATACGTATATATAATTCCATTGAATTTTTGTTCAAGTAGACTTCATGTCCGTATTGAAAATGTAAATAAATTTCGAATATATCTGTGTACATTTTATCAGTTCCAGAAATGGAGTAATGTACGAATCTGAGTAAATCTATGGTCTATGCACCGAGTTATTTATTCAACCAAATATTGTTGAAATTGATAATTCAGGGGTTATTCCATTTCAATGTACTTTAGGGAGACTCAATTTGTTTGGAACAAGAAGAAAAACGTTATATGACGAGCAAGTTTTTGTCGTTCTATAGTACAAGGTTAGATAAGGATTATACAAATTGTACAACAATGAATAAATTTTGCATTGTCCGCTTTTGTCCAGTTAAATACCTTCATAGCATCTGTTATCGCCAGAGGGATGAAAAAGGAGTATGCATATCGTTGCAGCAGGACGGGTACAATAGAGTGTCCCGTGGACAACTTTTTTGTAGGTACATCTTTCAAACTAATGTGCAGACCAGAATCCAGATTTTTAATATTTTCTTTGTAATTTTCTAGACTGTTAAAACTTTGAAATCGTTCGATCCTAACCGATTATCTACATCCCAACACGCTTACATGAAAAATCCCTCGACCATAGGCCATCAGTGGCCTTCCTTAATATTGAAGGGTCCTTTAAAAATGTGCTACCAGAATTTATTTTATCGGCACTGGTCAGGTTGTGTGTTTACCAACCAATCTCCCTTCTGTCCAATAGAGTCATAATTTCTACTATGAGAAATGTTTACAGAATGGTGAAACGTGGCTCTCCACAAGGCGGGGTCTTATCGCCTATCCTATGAAAAGAATTCTGTACAAAATTCAATGAGACGACTGAGTCGTTGGAGTACTAACAGTAGTCTCAGTGCCAATCCTGGGAAACTCGAAACTGTTCTGTTCTTAAAAAGTTACAAGACTCCCTCCTTCCTACTACCATGCCCAAACCGAGTATAATTAACACTCTCTGACACTGCATAATATCTTGGTATCAATCGAGATTCTAAATTATCAAGGAATCTTATTATCAAAACAAGATCCTCTAAGCCATCTATCGCGATGTATGCATGTAGAAAAGTCTTAGGTAAGAACTGCGAAATGGTTATTCGACATGGTAAAAAAAATGGTAAAACCCATGCTGATATATGGTGCACTCTTCTGGTGGAAAGCTTGGAAAATCTACCTACTGCAATTATAAAGAAGGGATAGATCGGGAGTTAGACTACATTCTGATAGTGTCTGGAAGATTTACATGAAAACATCGCTTTCTGATCCCCCACGATCGGGCGTTTTTTGTCAAGATGGAGAACCATCTGGGCATCGGATCACTCTAATGTTCCTGGGAGTATTATGTCAAAACCTGGTTCGTGTCTACACGCAGGTGATATTGACAGACTAGTTGGTGCCCTACTGCTCAACATCAAAAATAACCCGTCCTCTCTATTATGAGCGAAGATTTGATGGGTCTTTATAGAATGGAACTATATTTATTGGTATGCATGCTAGACTAACTTTACGATCAGTCCGATACTACATGAACTGGCAGTGTAAGATAGAGACGTTTATACCCGTATCTGGTTGGTTCGATTTTAAGTTATTTGGAATTATTTGACTTAAATACGCATGTATGTATATCATTCTTTGTAAAATTTGCTGATCTTATGTATGTTTAGTTTACTTAAATGTTCTTGACCGTTATTAATTTCTTCATCGTGGACAATAATATTTTTATGTAAATCAGCAACTCGTCATAAGTATACAACTCAATTTGAGTTGATTTATTTATGTAAGAATGCGTAAATTGTTACTTGTTGGTTACTAAGTAAAACAACGATAATATTAATTTAAATATTTCATAATCATAAAAACATTTGTTTTTTTTTCTTTTTATAGCTTTTTTCATAATTATGCTCCATGTGAGATAGAATGTATTTTAAAAATAAGAAACTGACTGGACGCCAAACCGAATGAACCCCAATACGATTTCCATAATTGATAATCAACATGTGAACAGGCAGCAATTGATCAATAGATTTGACGATTGATCAAATTAAAAGCAAATAAAATAAATGGAACGTATATTTAATCGAAACGGGGCTGTCATCTAGTGAATCAGTTGTATAACGTGAACACAATCACATTTCGAATTTGTCTATGTTAAAAAAAAGAAACATACGTATGTGAGACTGTAGTGTGAACGCCAAGTGGATTGATTGGGTGTATAAAACTGATACTACCAACACAATAACAATAAATTAATGTTTGAGACGGTTGTCTGTACAATAAATGAAAAATAATACAAAACAATTGAGTTTTAAAACAACATACACCCCGTTGAGTAGAAATAAAGGCAGACTTTGAGATTATGACTGTGCTAATTGATTTTTTTTTACAAATACTTAACTTAGAACAATTGTATTAGTTGTGAGTTGGTAGACTTTACAATGGTTGTTTATACTTTTTTCATATATAATACTACTCGTACGACATATACTATACTACTCTAGACAATAGACTAGACTATAAACTAGACTATAGACTAGACTATAGACTAGACTATAGTCTAGACAATAGACTAGACAATATACTATACTATAGACTAGACTATAGACTAGACTATAGACTAGACTATAGACTAGACTATAGACTAGACTATAGACTAGAGTCTAGACTAGACTATAGACTAGACTATATACTAGACTATAGACTAGACTATAGACTAGACTATATACTAGACTATAGACAGGACTATAGACTACACTATAGACTAGACTATAGACTAGACTAGAATAGACTAGAATAGACTAGACTAGACTATAGACTAGACTATAGACTAGACTATAGACTAGACTATAGACTAGACTATAGACTAGACTATAGACTAGACTATAGACTAGACTAGACTAGACTATAGACTAGACTATAGACTAGACTATAGACTAGACTATAAACTAGACTATAGACTAGACTATAGACTAGACTATAAACTAGACTATAGACTAGACTATAGACTAGACTATAGACTAGACTATAGACTAGACTAGACTATAGACTAGACTATAACTAGACTATAGACTAGACTATAGACTAGACTATAGACTAGACTATAAACTAGACTATAGACTAGACTATAGACTAGACTATAAACTAGACTATAGACTAGACTATAAACTAGACTATAGTCTAGACTACAGACTAGACTATAGACTAGACTATAGAATAGACTATAGACTAGACTATATACTAGACTATAGACTAGATCTACAGAACTCTATTCCTCCTGTTTTTCGAAATTTCACAGCACTACAGGAATCGATTTCATTTTCAAAACCCCAACGGTCCAATGCATTTATATAAATTTCCCTCAGTGCATTCGTTCATAAATGAAATAAAGGAATATGAAATGTATTAAAAAATAAATAAAATAAACAACCAGAAGTTAATAAAACTCTTAATATTTTCTGTTGATAATGAATGAACGAAAACGAAAACAATAACAAAATGGTCTGGTCCATTAGTTATGAATAAGAGTTTGCCTCTAGCTGCTCACTCAGATGCTTGTTTAATTTTAAGCGGATCTTCTTTTCTAAAACGGCTGTGAACGGAGGCACAACGCCTAGAACGCGAACTATTTAATTGTTATACAACTCTAGAAAACTAAAAATAAGCTCAAAATCGCGGAAATCGTATTGAGATTATTTAGTGCAACGAAAAAAAAATTAATTAAATTTAACAGCAAACACAGCTAAAAATAACTAAAAACGCACTTACACAGAAATATTTAAAACAAAAATACATTTTAATCAAAAATAAATTAATTACAACACGCTGTACGTGTAAAGAAAAACCGGTAAAAACCAATTAAAAAGATTACAGATTACGAATCTCAATCACTCTCTCAAACATACTGATGTATTCGCTTTAATAATTGTGTAAAGAAAAGTTTGATTGCAAAAAATATTGTTAAAATATACATACGTAAATAATAAACACCTTTGGCTAAGTTTAGCCAGGCGCCAGTCTAATAATAGACTGACTGACTCGATCGCTTGATCGATCTCCTCTTGCGTTTAACTCTAACAACCTACAAACACCAGCCAACAACATTCCGCGAAGCGTTCGTAAACAACCAACCGAACAACCACTTTATCGTAATCTCTGTCAAACAAACAAACCAACAAATACTCACTCGTAAACAAGCAAGCAAACAAACAAACAAACAAAAACAAACGGACAAACAAATAAAAAATCTAAAAATAAAACCAGCTGATTTTGTTACCGTGAAAAAAATATTTGTTTTTATTTTCATTATTTATTTATATTTACAACATTTGACAACAACAACAGCAGCAAGCAGATAAAGTTGTAACCAGCAACGACACAGAACAACAACAACAACACCAACGACCGACTTATGTTATCTATCATCTGCATGCCACACTCACATCTGTAACTCAACGTAACTCAACGATTACATGCAGAGCAGAGTGTTTGTTTATTTAAGGAAAAACTATAAATAAATTCAATGTTTGTTGCACAGGCGTAATAATAACAAAAACAGCTGCAATATGTAAGTGTGACCAACAACAACAAGTGTAAATAGTGTAAAATAAATAAACAAAGTACTAGAAGAAAATCTTCTCAAGAAACACAAAAACAAGTCGAATGCTTGACTCCAACAGTGACAACAAACATTGGAAAATCACACTGATCGAAAGCAACAACAATAACAACAACGACGACAACATCATCGACAAAAGGCGCGTCGTCAAACACACCACACAAATACCATCACAAGAAGGTTTCAACGTTCATTGCAAACGATCTTCATGTCCAGAGCTATGCAGAGCTCGATACGAAACAGTGTAGTGCTCGCACCCTGCACGCAATCTTCTTTAACTTTAACAAAATCCAAAAGAAGTCAATTTCAATAAATCATTATAAATCCAGAACGCAAAATATATCGAATCAGTTTGAATAAATAAACGTTTTTCTCTGAACACTATAAACCATCAACAAAGTGGTCAATTGACCACGAATTACAGTTTTCGCTAAAACAGAGATGTCTGTTAAAGTACTTTCTTAAATGCAAAATAAAATTCAAATTAAAAAAAAAGTAAACTAAAATTGTGATTTAAAAAAAAGCTTGTGTGTGATAGACAAATAATAATTTTTTTTAAATATATGCTAATAAAACGTCATAAAAATATATTGTTTGTCCTTTTCGTTCAACCCTCGTAAACCCAAAAACAAATCAACTTAAAAATTTAAAGTTCCTTATTTAAGTGATTACAACAAAATTATATTTAGAAAATTATTAAATAAATTAACAACGACAAAAAAAATACATGAAACTTTTGGTTGTGTCCTACTATATTGTTCGCACTTTTAACGCAGCCTTTTAAACACCTGCAACGGTCAAGGGAAAGATATTTTACATAGAGAGCTTTTGCTGTACGTATGATGAGCAACAGTTGTCGCATCTCACCAGTTTGCCGGATTGTTCAGTTAGAAAACCACAAAAGTAAGTAAATCATTTTTATCATTTTTGCTAAAAAATGTAATCAGAGATTGAAATGAATTGTTTCACAAAAGTTTTTGAAAGTTTCAAAAAATTGAAGTGATTAGGATTATTTATAAATTACAAATTTAAACAAATGTATTGAACATTTTTGACTGTGAATTAACTCATTTCAATATCTGAATTGTAACTTTTGCATGATACTTTTTAAAGACACTTTCTTTGCAAAATATTAATAATTCTATGAAAAATGTTTTATGAAAATTGTTTATTTTACAAAAAAATATATTCTTCTTAAAAAATCGAAAAAGATTAAAAAAAAACCCTATAGATTATTCAAAAATTTAAACTACATTTTCAATCGCACGCTTCTGATACTTAATTTACTTAATTTTTTTAATTTTAATTTACTCGGGGTTGTCATAGAATTCAATCTGTCTCGGAAATGGATTTGAAAATGAAAAAAACATGCATTATATTAAGAAAATTCTAAGTTCGATCTAGAAATCGATTTATTATCAAAAAAAAAGATATCATCAACAATTTTAATGAAGTTTTTATTGTCGTTTTTAAAACCAATTACTACAATGATTGGATTCTATGACAACCCCGATTATTTTGTTTTCGGTTCATAATTACCGATTATACGTTTGAAATACTATTAGTACTAGTTAAAATTTCGATTCAGAAATTAGTTTTGTAGCAGAAAAAAAGGTTATTTGCTTCATACTTCTCAAAAGAACAATTTAAAGGTTACAATTCTACTACAAAACTACAAATTGATTTATATACTAGAAATAGATCTATAGCCAAGAACATAGACTGATATATAGTCTAGACAGACCTATAATCAATACAATAGGCAAGTTCAAATATTGATATACATATGTCAAGACTATATCGAGATTTATAGGCAAGATCATAAATAGATCTATAGTCAATACTATATAATGATCTACAGTAAACATAAAATCTAATTTATAGTTCAAACCATAGGCTAATCTATCGTCAAAAATAACAAATGGGATGATCTATAGTTAAGAATATAGATTTTCTATAGTGAAGACTATAGCGTGATATGTGGAAAAGATTATACACACCTATAGTCAAGACTATAGCCTGATCTAGAGTCGAGCTCATAGCTTGATATATAGTCTGGACGTTTGAATAATCTATTGTAAGGACTACAGACTGATCTATAGTCAAAACTATAGATTGATCTATAGTCAAAATTATAGACTGATACAAAGTCAAGAATATAGACTGATCTATAGTTAAGACTATAGACTGATCTATAGTCACAACTATAGACTGATCATAGTCAAAACTATAAACTGATCTATGTTCAATGATACAGTCAAGAATATAGACTGATCTATAGTTAAGACTATAGACTGATTTATAGTCAAAACAATAGACTGATCATAGTCAAACCTATAGACTGATCTATATTTAAGGATACAGATAAATCTGTACTTAAAAGTACAGACTGATCTATAGTCAAGAAAATGGACTGATCTATAGTTAAGAATAAAGACTATAGACTGACTATGGACTGATCCAGACTATATACTTATCCATATTTAAGGATGCAAATAAATATGTATTTAAAAGTACAGACTGATCTATAGTCAGGAAAATGGACTAACCTATAGTCAAGAATAAAGACTGTAGACTGATCTACAGTCAAGACTATAGATTAATCTATAGTTAAGACTATAGACTGATGTAAAGTCAAGAATATAAACTGATCTAAATTCAAGAATATAGACTGATCTATAGTCTAGACTATAGACTGATCTAAAGTCAAGAATATAGACTGATCTATAGTATAGACTATAGACGGATCTTTAGTCAAGAATATAGACTGATCTATAGTCAAGACTATAGACTGATCTATAGTCTAGACTATAGACGAATCTATTGCCAAGACTACGGACTTAACTATAGTCAAAACTATAGACTGATTTATAGTCAAAACTATAGACTGATCTCCAGTCAAGTCTATAGACAAATCTGTACTTAGGTTAGGTTATACTCAAGACTACATAGACTAGAGTCGAGACTATAGGCTGATCTATAGTCAAGTCTATAGACTGATATAAAATCAAGACTATAGGTCACTATGGTCATGGCTATAAATTGATTTATATTCATGGCTTAATACTGATGTTTTGATTAATAGATTGGTCTATAGATAATACTATAGATGGGTCTTTAATCAAGATTATAGATTGGTCTAATGTCATTAACATATACTGTTTTATAGTACTTTTATGTGCAAAAAAACTGAGATCATTAAAATATTTCCAAAATTCTTTAAAGTGATTACAAACTATGTATATTTCAGTTTAATCATAAAATGTTTTTCATTTAAATTAAATAAATAAAAGTTATTTCAACAAATACTACATATTTATATATTTATTTTAATTGTATTTAAATTAAACAATAATCTTTCTAAGTTTCTCTATTTGACTATAAAACGAACAAACTCTTTTTCACGCAAAAACACCACAAATGAAAACAAAAATGATAAGATTTCTATTTTTATATTTTTAAAATTATTTTATTTAATTTGTTAAAAACATGATTACACGCACTTTTCTTTTATACATTTTATATGTATATTTGTACTCGAATATTTATATAATAAATTTTATAAAATAACAAGTACTTTATAACCATACAGTCAGTCGTTTAGTCAGTCATTTATTTTGTAAATAATCAGTCTTTGTGTGTTTTTTTTTTCTTCTGATAATACCATTCCACACATTTTGTGGGTTTGTATGGCTGATTAAGTAGTTATTATTACATATTCAAATTTTATTTAAAATAAAAAAAAAAAATTAAGAAAAATGTCTACAGACCCTGACAGAAAAATTTAGAAAAAAAAAATCTGTAAATTGAAATAATAATAATTGAAAAAATTAAAAAAAAACATATTTCGACACGCGTAAGTAGTTCATGAATTTAAGTTTATTTTTCTTTAAATATTTAATTTGATTTGAAACAAAATATGTAAAAGCCTTGATGTAAGACCTACATGTGTTTGTAAGTTTGTAAATATAGAAAAGGTTAAATATGTTTTTATGTACATACTTACTGAGAAATCTGTTTGTAATTATATTTTTTTGAATATGATTTATTTAAAAAAGGGGGAAAGGCACAATTATACTGCAAACCTTGTTTGAAAACAAATTTAATCTTCCGGTTTATTGTTTTTCTTTAATTTAGTATTTTTTTTTGGAATTATTTTTAAAAACATCGAAATGAAAACAAAATTAAACAAAAATCCCCATTTATCTTATATTTAGCTCCATGATAAAAACTATTTGCCACTCAAGAAATTTATTAAATATTAAATTAAAGAAAATATCAAATAAAATGAAAGTTTCCCCCTAGAAATATAACGAGAATATGTCCCTTTTAAAATTAAGTTAACAGTTCCATTAAATCCTTAAAAATAGTTAAGTTTTAGTTAAAAAAAAAGATAAAAAAACAACAAAAATGTTTTATTATGGTGAAACTTGAATCATTTTAAATCATTACAGATGGTGTTACCAAAGGCACGTTTAATGTACTCCTCTTCGTCTTTAAGCAATACCTGCACTTCAAATACAGCCTCACCAGTTCATCTGATGAGTTTACCAGCGATTTTAGTTGGTATTTTAGTCCTAGTAGTAGTTATACCGCTACAGGCACACCCCCTAATACCGAGTGGCAATAGTCATAGTTTCGAATATAAACATTATTGCAGCAATTCGTTGTCTGATGTAATACGGCTACTCTGTGGTGGACCTTATAGTTCCCAACAATATACGCAATATAGTAAGTTTCCCCTTCATCCCATTTAATTAAAAATAAATTTAAACAAATTAAATACTGCGTCCAAAATTATTGACTGATTTGTTATTTTTTTTTCTGTTCTCTTTTCTTCTTTTCACTCTTTTCTTGATATCAGCGGACAATAGTGACGCGTTTAGTTCGAATTCTTTGAAACGTCTTGCTAGTGATGATGGAATCTACTTTAGGAATGTTCAGACCGAACGAATTCATGAATGTTGCCAAAGACCCTGCGGCTATTCGGAATTGAAAATGTATTGTGCTCCCGTTTGAAGTTTTGAACGTTTGGAAATGTTTTGAATAATTTATCAAGATCTCCCAAAAAACATAACAAAAACAAAATGAGACGAGATATTTCTTCTTTAAAAGAATATTCTTAAGAATTGTAATTTTAAGTGAAAAAATCATAAATGTAATTTAAAATATATATGTCTACGTCTAGGTATAGGGTAGTATATATAAAGTTTTGAGATGGAACTAAAGGATAATTGTGATGTTTACGAAAATTATTTTAACAAATACTTAAGAAAATGGTTATAGGGAATTAGATATTGAAATATGCAGCTAATATTGCTTTTAAATATATTTATATTTGTAGTTTTAAAACTATTAAAAATAAAAATTTGAGTTTAAATAAATATCGGCCCATTAGCTCAGTTGGTTAGAGCGTCGTGCTAATAACGCGAAGGTCGCGGGTTCGATCCCCTCATGGGCCAATGTTTATTTTTCTAGAGTTTATTTATACATAATTATTATTATTCTTTATATTTTATAAATCCAAAATTATCAAGGTGTATAAATAGATGCTTAGGGACAAGTTCTCTTAGATTGAAAAAATACACAATACTTTAGGTGTTTCGTAGCAAACATCATGACAGGCAAATTCTGTTGAAAATTCATTCTAAATTATTGACCCCATTCTTCGGTTTTAACATACTTATAGAACTATAAGTCGGAGATCAAAAGATTTATATTTGAAAATGTGCCAATCGGAAAAATCGGTTCTTAAACATTAGATTTATCTCTATATTTGACACTCATTCTAAATTATTAAACCTTTTTACATTATTCCGGGTTTTTCATACTTATAGAACGATAAATCGAAGATCAAAAGACATCTAAAGGATGTCTATATAAGATTTATATTTAAAAATCTGCCAATCGGAAAAATCGGTTCTTAAATATTAGATTTATGTCTTTATTTGACACTCATTCTAAATTATTGATTCTATAGATCGACAAAACGAAAATCAAAAGACATCTAACGGATGTCTATATAAGATTTATATTTAAGAATTTGCCAATCTTTTTTCATTAGATTTATGATACAAAAATCACGACTATCTCGAGGTATTGTCATAGTTTGGGATTTATCTTGAAAGGTCCTTTTCGATTTCATATTACAGTATTCTGAGACACATACTATAAAAAATATAAATTTCATTTTGCAAAAACATCAAAATATTCATAAGACCGACGGCATCCGAACATTTAAATTATTCTATCTGATCATTAAATACAAACCCCAGATTCATAAATGCTAAATAAAGTTGTCAATGGTTTATTATCGCATAAATATCTTTATGAATACATAAGAGTAAAAACGAATAAAACTGAATTTAGACTCGATCCATTTACTTTAAGAAATCTGGTGTAAGATATAATTAGAAATGTCACAATTTTAATTAAAATTCATTTAAGAATATAATTGTGAATATATTATAAATAAAAGTTAAGCATTTTTTTCATATGAAACCTAATTCGTCCAATAAAACGATCTTAAACTAAAATAAAAACAAAAGATATATCATTTAAATTCATTCCAAGTATTCCATTTAAATTAAGTACGTATTAAAAATTTTCTATTCTTTATTTTATTCTTTCAGAAGATGTTTTCCCTAAAATATATAATCTCAACCCAACATCATCGTATCTTAAGTTTAACAACAATTATTTTAGTCATTTGCTTAATTGTGATAATATATATGCCCACACCTGCCCAAACACATCCCCTGTCACCACAAGATGGTCATACGCCCAATAGACGTTACTGTAGTACAGCATTATTTGAGGCGATACGTGTCATATGCGAGGGTCGTACCAATTCACTATCTAGTAGATATCGTAAGTAAAATATAACTCAATCCCTTTAATCCAAAGTTCTTAAATCTAATTTTCTTTCTATTTTTCAGCTGATAGTGTTGGCAATCGTAGACCGAGTCTTCTGAGACGTCTACTGCCAGATGACGATGTCATATTTCGTCCTTCATTTGGTGGCGCTGTTCATGAGTGCTGTCGTCGTCCATGCGGTTATTCGGAACTGCATGCCTATTGTGAAGATTAAGAATTTCTTTTCTTTTTCTCTTTTTGAATACACAAAAGTACTTCATTCATTCGTTCATATCCATACATCTATTCAATTTTGTTCGTCATCATTATTATTTTATTTTTATATTATTTGCAATTAATATATAAATAACTTTATTTTATTTTATTTTCTTGCATACACATGTTTGTTCGTTCGATCATTCATTTTAGGCTGTTTAGATTTATTTAAGATTTTTTTTTGTTATTATTAATTTTATTTTTTATTTTTTTAACATTTTAGGTTGTCTTTTTTTATTTCTATTCTATTCTAATCTATGTTTATTTTTTTAATAATTATCAAGCTGTGTGTATATTTTTTATTTTCGTTTTAGCAAAATGTTTTTAGCAAATTTTTATATTAATAATTAATATATTAATAAAAAATTTAAAAAAGAAATTGTTATGAAAATTTTATTAAATAAAATTATAAAAAATTGGAAAATTTGTTTCGTTACCTATAAGAAGTTAGTCAAAGATCTGCCCATGAATCGAAATTTAAAAACCTGACTTCAAACACTAGGTTAGGTCGATAAGAGGATGTATCTACATCAAATCCGAAGAAATACACCTAAGCCACAATCGGGCCTATTGTGCGCTCCTTTTTATGGAAAATGTTTGTTGTTAAAAAACAAAAACCTTATATACTATTCAATAAATATATTATCGTCCGATGTTCAGAAACCCAGTTTCCTGGACTAGTTCCTACGAATTTTTCAATAAGTGTTCGTGAGGGATATTATATTTAGATATTTGGATCTAATTTCGGCGAAAGCCTGACAATGGCAAAAAAAGTGCTCCAGAGTTTCGCTGTCCTCTCTTCGCACTTCGAATTTTGTATAGGTGTGCCCGTAATCCTGTGTGTCCACTCAGAATACGTACCATCACACTAACCTCACACTTATTCATTTTGAGGAGCCTTCTCTTCCTGCTCTCATTAGGGTCACCCCATAGGATCTTTGTGGTTCTACCCACTGTTTCATTATTCCAAGATGCCTTATGGGTTTCTCTCACCCATAATTTTAATTCTGCCCTCATTGGTCAGGTTAAGTACCTTGAGCACCCTTCCCTTTAAAGCTATTGCATTCGCTCTTTCATTGCCGACTACTCCCTAGTGGCTTGGTACCCATATGATGAGAACTTTACCTCTCGGAGAGTATTCGGCTAGAGCTTTTTTACAATCCAATACGGGTTTAGATTTAACTTTATCATCTGATATCATCCTAATTGCCTTCTGGCTGTCGGTAAATATGTTAAGCGCCATATTTATTCTTCTTCAATTTGCGCATTTCGTTATTGCTCGGACTTCTGCCTGGAAGCTAGTGCTGTGATTAGGTAAACGGTGGTATATATTTGATTTTTTAGTCTTCAATATAAAAACCCAGGCCCACTTTATCCCCCAATTTAGAGCCATCCGTGTAGCAACGGATTCCTACTGGTATTTGCTCTAAAGGTCCGCTTGACCAAGTGCCGTCTCATATCTTATATATGTTTCAAAGGGTGGAATATCTAGCATTCCAGAGCCTTGATTGACGTAGTGCTCTGTAGTAGTTAGATATTACACTTTTTTCCAAAGAAGTATAACTTAGAATTGGTCTAATTACACTTTTATAGAGCCAATGTGTCATAGTAGGACTAAGGCCCCATTTCATGCCTATGGTTCTTCTACATAGCGCCAAGCACCGATGTGCCTTGTTAATCCTTTCCTCTATGTCATCTGACCAAATCAGAAAGTACATTCACATTTCTAAAACTTACTTTTGTAAAATTTTAGTCAATTCGGATAACGATAATCTGTGCCGGAAATCGATTGAAAAGTGTAAAATTGGATAAATAATAGAACTTTCTTTGATTTCTTCATAATAATACATGTAATATAATAAATTGTGTACAAGTAATTATAATTGCAACATGAATATATTTTAACAAAATTCCCGGAACTGCAAAAGTGAGCGGGGTACCTCCTCCATATGAGGTAAGTAGTAAAAACTATCATTCTCGGAAACTATAACAGCAAGAATGTTCAAATAATGTACCAATAACTTTAGTTATTAGTGGGCGTGGTAAATGAAATATGAGTATGAATCTAATATTTCCCATAGACCCCATACAAAGGTTTAGTTTATTGCTAATAACTCCCTCAAATATCGTTATTGGAATCACCACAAATACATGTAAATATAATATGAACAGAAACCATACTACCAAAGCAAATCTTTATTGGTCCACAATTGGACCCATATAAGGTCCGCTTCATAAAATCATTTAACCGCACATATTTCAATGTCAAATAAAGCTATCCTGATAAAACTGTGTTTTGTCTACATATGAATTACTCTAGGAAATTTGTTCCGGATAGGCCCGTAATTGGTCACAGCTACCATATAAGGCTCACTTCCGAAAATTACTTAAACGCATATATTTCATTGATAATGCTATCGGGATGAAATTCGATTTGAATATGTTTTGTCTACATATAAACCATTCTACCAAATTTTTTCCGGATCGGTCCATTATTGGTCATAGCTCCCATATATGGTCCACTTCCGAAAATCACATAAACGCCCATACAATCAAAGTTTTAGAGATAAAATTCGTATATATAAATCATTATACGGATTTTTTCCCAATCGGTCCATAATTAGTCTTAGCTCCTATATAATGTTCTCTTCTGAAAATAACTTAATACCACAAAATTCATTATTAAATGATTATATCCGTATAAAATTCGACATGAGTTTGTTCTGAGTATAGATAAATCAATCTGCTAAAATGTTTTCGTTTCAATACATATTTAGTTCATTAAAAAATATCGACATCGGGGCAAAACTCAACAGGAATATGTTTTGTAAATATGTATACAAATCATTCTCTTAAATTTTTTGGCATTTGCAAGATCCGTAAAAGGTCCATATCCGAAAATCACTCATTATAAATTTTTCTGGACCTAATCCAAAATTCAGTTCCATATATGTATAAATTCTAGTACCCTTATTACGTAAATATAACTTATGTCGAGTTATCTAAAAATTAAATAGTTAAATGGGTTTTAATAAAAAGTAGTTTGCTAGTGCAGTGCATTTAAGATTCGGCATAGCCGAATATAGCACTCTAACTTGTTATTGATTTAATTTTACACTGACTACAAGATGACGCAGTTTGTGAGACATGCCCTAGCTATATTCAATGATGATGTTTTTTGGAGAATTTCAATTTAAAAGTAAAACAATTTCTGGCAACACTAGCCAACACACTCGTTACAATTATACACACCATGATTGTGGTGAATAAGTGACGAAACTCACAAATGTGTTGCATATCTTTTGGCGCTAACAAAGCATATTGTGTTCAATTATTAAAATGAAGGTTGGCAACCGTTTCTGAAATTACTAAAAATTTATACTTAAATGAATGAATTTGCTTAAATCTGTTCAATAAAATACATACATATACATATAGCTGAATTCTTAATACTATTTTTGTTTTAAAATTTCGTCATAAATTTATAAATAAGCATCTAAAGCGTATTCCAACAATATATAAGATGTTCTACATTGAAATAAAAACTTAGATGAATGTATGTTTGATTTTAGATAAATTGTTATGGATACTTTTCAATGAAATATACACCACAAACTGATACTTAATGAGTTTGCGACATCTATTGATGAATAAAGTAATTATATCATCCATGGTTACTTTGTTTTCAATATTTAGTACAAAACATAAAAAATATAAAGTATATTTTTAGGATGACAATATCCTTGATAAGCAGAATTGATGATTTTCTTTTTTTTCTGAAAACATGATTTTCCATCAATTAAGACTTTTCTGGTAAATGTCATATGAAGAGAAATCTTAAAAAATTATTGAAGAATTTTTTTATACTCATTTCTAATTGATTTACATTCTCTTAAATAATTGAAATTTCTTTAAAAAAATTAAAAATTAGAAAAAAAATGTCCACTCCTTTATAGCAGAGCAAGGTTTCGATCCTCGGACCTCTGGGTTATGGGCCCAGCACGCTTCCACTGCGCCACTCTGCTTCTAAAAATAAAATGTTTAATTTCCGTCATATTGTGTAATGTTTCATTGATTTATTAAAACATTACAATATCATGTGTGATTCATGCATTCTACCATTATTAGCGTATTCATTAATGTATTTAATATACATATTTAGATTTACGAAGCACATTTCTATTAAATTAAACTGACGATATCGTGCAGTAACAAGATATATCGATTGCATTACAGAATTTTACATTCTCCAATGTTTTAACAACGTTGGATCATATTAAAGAAGAATATCAGTAATGGATCCATTATTTAAAAGTTGTCCACTTATTAAAACATCTTAGTCTAAAACTAAGAGATATAGCGTGATATTAATAAAAAATATATATACCAACACTAGCAGAGCAAGGTTTCGATCCTCGGACCTCTGGGTTATGGGCCCAGCACGCTTCCACTGCGCCACTCTGCTTACCGTATAATCACATATCATATTTTCTTTAAAAGAAACTTGTACACTTGTAAAATTTACAGTTACATACATATTTTTTTAAAATTATTTTGGTAAGACTTTTTTTTTGAAATCCTTTAAAATTATCACACGCCAATGTTTAAATTTCGATATCCTGCTATTTTTCCTATCACTGTAAAGCTGTATAATGATAATATTTTTATCACACAATTTTTAAGTGAATCATATCGATAAAATAATCAAATAGAAAAATTAACTATTTAAAATGTAAAAAATATGTAATAATAAAATAAAATAAATAAATTTAAAAAAATATCCGACTACTCTAGCAGAGCAAGGTTTCGATCCTCGGACCTCTGGGTTATGGGCCCAGCACGCTTCCACTGCGCCACTCTGCTTCTAAAAATAGAATGTTTAATATCAGTGATATAGCGTTTGCATGCAATCAGTTAATTACAATATCATGCTTAATTCATGCATTCCAAAATCAGTACAATAAAGAAAGTACATAATTTATATTAAATCAGACTATTTTTATGTAAGTAGATCTGTGGTAATGGTAAAAAATATATTTCAGATAGATTTATTTAAAAACTGCTATAGAGATAATTCACAATAAAAATGTATTTCGATGATTTCTATAAAATTTTAAAGAAAAAAGGAAATCAACACTAGCAGAGCAAGGTTTCGATCCTCGGACCTCTGGGTTATGGGCCCAGCACGCTTCCACTGCGCCACTCTGCTTCACAACAAACGTCGAATATAATTATATTATAAAAAATGAACAGTGAGTGTGACCTTTGACCT